TTTTACTTCCTCCACCGCAGCGGCTACTCTTCCTCAACTGTTTGTGAAGGGGAACCTCTTTTTGAGTTCTTTACCTATATATTTTGGTGTCAAACGACAGCGTAGCCTTTCGTTTTCTTTTTCTTTTCTTTTTAAGCTGATATTATTTTTTTATTATCTCTTTTAATTGTATATATAATATTTATTCTTTCATCAATTATAAACACAAGAAATGAGAAATAAATATTATAGTCTCAAGCATTTTTTGTGTACAATTATGGATGATAATCTTGTTAACAATATACCACGTGGCAAATTGACATTGGACAGTTTAAAAAAATAAATTATTTTTACAATCAGCAGTTTTTTTGACAACTCGTACATTGTCATTCATAATTGTACAAATAAATTAATCATTCAGTCTTTCGAATAAATAGTTACTTTTACGTCTGCAATATGTTAGTATATTTTGTTGCCAATTGTATAGTAGGTATAACCCGATGATGACTATTGATAATATGAATTCAATCTATGAATTAAGCAAATGTTTGTGTGAATAATGAATTCAATGGGTAAAATAGTGTGTTTATGCACAAAAAATCGATATTTTTTTGAAGTTACCTGACGGTAACATATTTGTTCATGTTTGAGCTCCATTTTTCATAAAATTCATTTTTTTTCAAAATGCATTCTTCATCCAATTATTCTCCCATAAAATAACTGTACACGTAAATACAGAATTTTTCCTATTTTTAATCATATTCTCCAAAAACTCAATATTCGAAAACCCATTTCCATTAAAAAAAAAAATGGGGCTTAAAAGGCTAACACACCATTAACATAAGTGTGTTTTTGTGACACATACTTTTGAAAGAATGTATTATTGAATAATTGATTGATGGAGAATATGTTGTTAAAAATGAAAGAAAAGTTGTTGATGTGATGGAAAATATTATTTTATTGAAGAATGTGTGGTTGAAAATGAGTAGAAAAATGAGAATGAAAGAAATAATGTGTACCAAACAGGACCTAAGGGCAAATTGCTGAAGCGGGAGAGTGAGCCCCAATTTGATGGCCACTATTTGAGAAAAATAATATTTTTAATAATGATTTTTAGGAGAATGTCTGATTAAAAAGTAAGAATTTTTTTTTATTGCGTGCAAAATATCTTATGTATGAATGCATGGCTAAAAATAAGTACGTAAAAAAAATAATTTTCAAAACACAAGCCTTCTTTAAATGTTGTCACATCTAATGGATGTCCATGAACCTTAAAAATTCAAATTCAGTTTTTTTAATGCTAATACGACCCTAAGGTTAATTGACGAAGACTTTTCAACTACTGATCGGTGAATCGAGCCCACTCGAGTTATGACCAGATTCATGAGCCACTCTTAACGGGCGGATCGACTCATCCAATTTGGCATTTAGACTGTAAAACATTTATATTGGAGACAACACTATCA